GCTCTTTTCCTCCCAGATTTGTCTGGCCATTTCTGACCCTTTTCCATGGGTCCCGGCCAGAAGGTGCTTTAGTCTAGTGGCAGGCTTTCAGGCCTTGCTTTAGGCCAACCCCTTTTGGGTTGACTTTTGCCCGCGAGGGGATGGGTAACTTCAGGTGTTTGATTTAGAAGTTATATTCTTTGTGTTCCGTATTGTATATTCACTGTATTAAAGTCCCTTTTGCATTAAAGTTTTATATGTTTTGTTTTGTTGCGGTGGATGGCAGAACCCACTTGGAGCAGAGAGGTTTAGGGCTTCAGGGGTTTCCCTCTCCCCCTGTCCTGTAACAATTTGGGGAGCCCCATAACAGTATCTTGCCTAGGAGGAGGCTATGTAGGAGCCAGAGCTCACTCTGCTAGTGATCAGCTCATTTCCCAGGTATTTTCCTCTGAAGAAAGGCGATTCTATGGTTGAAAATACTTTATGGTACAAAGTGGAAAATGAAGAAAATAAATTTCCTCTCTTTTTTTTGAGAATATTAAGACCCCAAAATGGTTTCTCACTGTAGCTAATGAACTCGGCTAGTTTCTTGCCCCTAGACAATTTCCAAGGCTTTCTGCTAAGTGGTAAGTCAGAGACCTAGAGTCTTTTCTGCCCAGAGTCATCATCATTATTAAGAACCTTGAAAGTGACCACCCTGGGAGAAAGGGCCTGAGTTAACCTCCGATACTGTGTTTCTAGCAGCTAGCAAATGGCAAATCCTGTGGGGATGGTAAGCATGGGTGTAGGGAGCTTGGAAGATATAGTTTACCACCTTGCATATCACTAGCATCCAGGGCCTTTTGGTATAGTACCTTGGGCTGGCAATTCTTTTTGGGAAAAATGGTCTTTCCTTTGCTCCAGTTCTTTAGTGAAGTGTCTGTAATTCCCCATGATAATTTCTTCCCTTATATCTCAATGTGGTTTCATTTGGAAAGCCATCATTCATATTTTAATATGTATAGATGACTAGGAATGGGCTGTGCTTCATCATCTGTTAACCTGTACCATAATTTCTTGGTTTCATGCAAATGGACTGCCCCACTGCTCTCCCAGACATCCAGACAGCTCTGAAGAGTAGCTCCCCATAGAAAGTAAAACCTTGGCAGCACCACACACACACACAAATATTATTTACAAAACACAGTATTAACATCACAATCAGCTTCTTTGCTTTGCAAAGATCTCTTCTGGGATTGCTGAAACAGGGACCTGATTTGAATTGTCTGCTAGCTAAGACCAAGAGAAGTAGGATAAGTGAGAATATATATGGGGAAGAATAAGGGAAACCAAGGTAGCTTTGCTTCCTTTGCCACCACATGTAGTACTGGCTGGTCCTGCCTGTGTCCCTCAGAATTCCTGTCAGTGATTGCTTTTCTTGCATGTTTATAGAGTTCAGTTCAGAGAGTTTAATACATTAGAAGAAAAAGGGAAAAAGTGACTTCCTTTTTGATCATAAGTGTGCAGGAAGGGAGGTGTTCTCTATATCTCACTGGTTAAGATGCACTGTGCTGTCTTTATTTAGGGTTTGGGTGGGTGGGACAGTGATTTAGTGGGAGGGAGTATCCTAGAGAAAAAGGGAAGTCACTGGGTACTAGGAACTGGCAATTGCTGTCACAATGTAGTTCTACTCATCACTAAGTTATAAATTTATAAATTGAAGCAGTGGGTGATTTAACAGCTCCTTCCAGGATTGAGTCCCACTGAGCCAATGTTACGCCTGTAAGACTCTGGGAAATGCTTTTCCTTTGGGAAAAGTGGTGGTGTGACTTAGCGAGAAGATTCTGGGGATATGTGGTATATTTATTTGGAATGGCTGGAAACTGTTGGATGACAGCAGGCCTCGAATCCAAGCTCTAGACAATTTCCAGCCTGATCCAGTCTCAGGCCTGGCCTTCATAACCTCAACTCTGCCAGTTGTAGCTCCTGACCACTTTCTGGCCTAACCTTAGCTTTTCTGAGAGTGGGGCTCAGCCTTGCTGTGACTTGAGCAGAGGAGGGACACATCTA